AGTAATTGAGTAATTGAGTAATTGAGTAATTGAGTAATTGAGTAATTGAGTAATTGAGTAATTGAGTAATTGAGTAACGAATAATAGAATGAAACTATTATTTAGTACATTAATCATCCCTGCCATGATTATTTCATTCATAAACAAGACATTTTCTTTATTTGCTGTTGATATTTATCCCTTCACTACTTTTATAACGGCAGAAGCATTTAATTGTACCAAAACTTTAGGCTTTGAACGAGCCATTATTAGAGGTTATTTTGAAGATTATGATAGTAATCCTGGAGGTTCACTCGATTCTAATTTGGTAAAAAATTATAACCATGCTAAAGAAGCCGGGTACACTTATATTGATGTTTATATGTCCCCATGTACCGGAAGGTCAACTTGTAAAGCTCCTTCAAAACAAGTTAAAGAATTAGTAAACCAGATTTCTACTAATAAGTTAACAATTCAAACAATATGGTTAAGTATTGAAATAAATACCGATTCTCATAATTGGGATTTGGGTCCAGTTGAAAATAGAAAAATTTTACAAAAATTTCATACTGCTTGGAAATCTACCGGTTTGAAATTCGGTATATACACTGTATGTAATTTTTTAAAATATTTATTTAATTCTCAAAAAATTTAATTTTTTATGTAATATTTTGAAAAAAAAAATTCAGAGTCAATCTCAATGGGAAATAATTACTGGTGATAGAAATTGGGTTTTGGATTCTAATATACCATTATGGTACGCTATTTATGATAGTCATCGTGTTTTTGATCATTACCAAAGTTTTGGTGGATGGACTCAGGGTACGGGTAAACAATGTAAGTATTATAACGTGTGAATATTTTGATAATATGCGAATACTAATTATTTTTGAAATAGATGCTGGGGATTCCAAGTTTTGCGGAGGAAGATTTGGTGAAAATATTTTCAGATAAATAATTTTAAATAATTTTGTTGGTGGATAAATAATCTGTTGGTGGATAAATAATTTGTTGGTGGTAAGTGTAGATTCATTTTTTTGCGTAATTGATAAATTTATAAAAATATACGTAATAAATTAAAGTTTAATTCGTAAATAAGAGAATTACTGTAGTTTAAATATGTTATATATTAATATACTACTTAATTTGTAGATTCGGATGTTTTCTTTACCCTAAAAAAAATTCAAATTGTTTGATAAAAGTTTGTCTCTTTCATGAGTTGGGATGATTTTAAAGACAACTTTGAAAATATAACTAATAATGGTGAATTCTATTCAGATAACGTTTCTGAAACTGATAACGTAAAGGCGCAATCGGAACAATGATTGACAATTTATTCAAAATTAAAAAAACCTAACTAATAATTACGTAATCAATATTATAGATAAATTATATCAAGTAAATAATTAAAGAATTGGTTTTAATTAAATATATATTTTGATAATTTTTATCATTTGTTATTGTATATTTTTTAAACTATTTAGTAAACAAATTTGTTAGCTAAAATTTTTTATAATTATTAAAAAATTTTTTAAAATCTTTTTTAAATTACATATTAGTATTTAATGCTCATGGGTTTAGTGTTTATTATATAAAAAAGAAATAATATCTAGTGTTTAAAATTTAAATTTAAAACTGTTTCAAAAGAATTTAAATTAATTTTTTTAACTTTGGTAATCTTGTAATAACTTTATTAGATATTAGATTAGTTATTATATCAAAATATTATATATTACTAATAATCCTGATTATTTTAAAAGTACAGTATTTAAATATTAATTATTACTAGTATTTTTAAATTTAATTTAGTTTAATTTAGAGTTAGGTTTAGGTTTAATTGAACCTAAACTATACTTTAAATTTTGCAAATTTTTGAATCTAAATTTGAACTAAACTTTAAATTTATAAATCTAAATTAAATCTAAATTTAAATTTTAATTTAATTAAATTTAGTTTAAGTTTATTTTTTTCACTTAGGCAGATCATGCTAATAACTACATTTATTAAAGCCCAGTCTTATGAAAAACTACAGAATTACAAACTTTTTTCTATAACTTCTGACAATAAATCTAATGTTCTGACATTCTACAGCTACTTCTCAAATAACTAACCACTATCAAAACACCCATAAATGACACTGCCACACTAACAAAATATAATCAATTAAGATAATATTCTAATTAGAGATTTGTCTAACCACTGCTCTACAATAAATACCACTAATTTATCAGTTTTGTATACCAATTTTGCAATCAAATTTAAACATTATAGCAATCAAATTTGAACATTGTAGCAATTAAATTCAGACATAATAGCAATCAAATTTGTACATCTTAATAATCAAATTTGAACAGCAATATCTTATTATCTAATAATCAGAATCATACAATTTTAGTACTATTCAACTCATCTAGTCCTGATGAATTGAATAGTACTAAAATTGTATGATTCTAATTACTAGATAATAAGATATTGCTGTTCAAATTTGATTGCTGCAATATCTGAAATTGATATACAAAACCAATAATAACATCTTCTCATAGAGAAGTAGAAGAAAAAGAAAAAAAATTAAAAATAATAAATAGATATAGAGATAATATTAAAAAAATACAAGTAAGAAAAAAAAAATAAGGAAAGAATGAAAAAACCTTAACTAAATCCAAGTTTTTCTGATGTTCTATAGAATAGGGTGGCAAACTTTGCAAACTTTGCAACTTTGCTATTAAAAATTATATGATTACTAATTATTAGTGAAGCTTATTTCTTCTATTATCTACCTATTCTATAGGATATCTGGTTTTTCATCTATATTAGCTAGTTATAATTATAAGCCTATATCAGACTCTATAAAAATTATATACTACAATCTAAACTAATCTCTACTCTAATCTATATAATTAGTATATTTAAGAAAAAACCTCATCCTGAAAAAAAATAGTTTTTCTTTGACTTGTATACTATAGAGAGGTTAAAAATTCATACTGATGGTCTTGAATCATTGTTTGTCTAGGTTGTCACATTTAAGATATATAATCTATTTGTCTATATTCTATATATATTCATATAATTGTCATAATGAGTAAAAAGTAAACAATGTAACCAATTTGATAAGTAAACAATATGTTAATCTTTTGGAGAAGGTAAACTAAATCATCTACTTTTTTATAGAATTTTTCTCAAAAAAAAGTAAAGGGTTAATGAGAGTATATGAGGTTTTTCTATAAGTTTTATAGTTATATAAGCAATTCTACAAACTTTAACTATTTTAGCAAGAGTTTTTTGACTACTATTTGTTCCCAAAATAGCCTTTCTAGTTTGGATACTGAATAACTTGGAAAGTTTGTTAATAGAATAAAAAAAAACTTGATCCTAAGAAAAAATTATCCAAGTTATGCCTACTCTTCAGTATGTTATGTCTCTTAAATTTCATCAACAATAACTTACACAAAGGTAAGAACAGTTTTCAGAATACTCTTTTGGTTTGGATGCCAAATAACTTAGTGAGTTTACTGCAATAACTAAAAGCTTAATCCAAAAAAAACTGTCTAAAATACATCTGCTTCTCAGTATTTGACTTTATCAACAACTATTTTACTCTAAAATAGAACTAAAAATATTTGTTTTAGATATTTCTATATCATTTTTCTGTAGTTCAGTTTTTTGTTATCATTGTTCAGAAGATTATTATGTTATTATTTTGTTTAGTTTAAATTTATAAATATATATATATATATATATATTTTTTACCTTAGCAATGTCACAGAAAAGTGAATTTTTATTAGGTATATTAGTAGTATATTCTTGGTTAACGAGAGTACATTCTAGCCATACCTGCATCTTTTAAGCATCTAATTAAGTAGCTACCTATTACTAAGGTCTACACTAGATGCTGTATCTATAACCTACTATTACTTGAACTATCCAATTAAACTCTCTAATGTCCTCTGTCTTGTACCACCACCTTAATTATGCCAGCTTATAACTTTGTGCTGCTTCATTAAAGACCACTCAGTCAATATGTACTACACTACTTGTGCTCTAATTCTATAGATAACCTAGTAGGGTTCTTATATTTACCGAGTTACCCTAGGGAGAGTATAGTATATACCTCCTAATCTTTCTATATCTCACACATTTTCAGATTAGACCTTTTCAGTAACTTATGCCGAGTTCAAGAACAAGTATTTGTGGGCCAAGGCTGCTATAGTTACCTATTACTGTCTTTGTAGAGTTCACACAAACTCTGATTACTTTACAGACTCTGTCCTATACTTTCAGAAACCCAAACTCCCAATCTGATAGCCTAAAAGGGCAGAACCCTTCCTTCAGTTATCTGACAGCCTGGTTAGTATAGTGCTTTGCCAACTACCTCAGTTTTGTTCAGTTTTTCAGTATCCAGTTAATCATCTTTTATATAGTAACTATTGAAGATCTGTGCTACCTCTCCACTCGGGTCTTGCCAAGTGGGCTCCTGTATTCTATAAATTCACTAAATTTATCCAGTAGCTTCACTTGGGTTTTGTGTAACTCATATATTACATTACATATTTTACTACCTTCTAGTACAAGCTGGCATGACCACTATTACAGATTCTATAACCTAATATAGTCAAAGAATATACCAAATTAGGATAATATAAATTGCTTCTTTTATGATATAAAACTACTGATTAGAAAGTTCTAGATGCAGAGTAAATAATGATCACACACTAATCGGCCAATAAAATTACAATACTAGAAATAAAATTGAAATCAAGTGATATTTAGGCTCTTTTCATACAAGTAGATAAATGCATTATTATTATTATTTTTTTTTTATTGAATTTGCTGTATACAGGAAGAGATAATTACAAGTTTATATCAAGATGATATATTAAAAAAAAAACTATCTA